TTCGGGAAACTTGGAAAATAGTGTCTGAGTTACGAGGATCCAACTCTCGAAGGTTGTCAAATCTCGAAGTTACTGCTTCTTCTGGGGTTGTGTCCAATAACCCAGATATTGTCTCCAAAAAATTTAATCATTTTTGCATAAATACTCCCCAAAACTTGGTAAAGAAAATAAATCTGGCAACTACTAATTTTGACTATGCTTTAAATAAAGATATCTCACAATTCCATTTGTACCCATTCACAGAATTTGAATTTTTTGAGTTAATGAGAAAAAAACTGAACAACAAAAAATCGTCTGGGCCGGACGACATTCCCGCATTTATGATAAAAAATACCTTCGATTTATTGATAAAACCTTTCGTTTTTCTAATCAATTTAAGCTTTTGCGAAGGTCGATTCCCAGACAGATTAAAAACAGGTAAAGTCATACCAATACATAAAAAAAATAATAAACAATTATTGGAGAATTATAGGCCAATCACGATGACCTCAGTTTTCTCGAAGGTGTTTGAGCATTGTTTTTTGAACAGATTTTTATTGCATCTGGATTCAGGCAATTTGATGTCAGATACACAGCATGGATTTAGAAGCGGGAGGTCGACTATAACACTGCAATGGTGGCCATGTACGAATCCTTGGCGGATAGCATTGACGCGGGCGAATGCCCTGTTGGGATCTTCTGCGATCTCAGTAGGGCATTCGACTGCGTTAATCACAATATTTTGGAGAGGAAGCTGTGTGAGATTGGTTTTGGTGGAAGCTGGAGCAAATGGATAAGATCTTTCATGTCTGACAGACGCCAGTATGTTACAATTGTCAACTTGAGCCAGGGTAGGCAAAGATCAACTAACTCTGAGAATTTGTCTGTGTTGCTGGGTGTACCACAGGGCTCTATTTCGAGTGTACATAGATAAAGTTGATGGTTCTGTTCCTCAGGAAAAGTGCGCAAAGTATGCGGATGATGTCGGTACCACTATTTCTGATCTAGATCAAGCAAGCTTGAGATCAAAATGTCATACTGCAATTTTGTCCTTAAATGAGTGGTTTTCAAATAACTCTCTCGTGTTTAATACAGAAAAAACAGTACTTATATAATTTCATAACCATCAGAAATTAATTACCACACCACTTAGTGTGAATGTGGGTGGTCACGTGCATACTGTCTCTGAAAGCACAACTTTCTTGGGAATTGTGCTTGATAAAAATTTAAACTTTAAAGTTCACTGTGATGGGCTCATACCGAAATTAAATTCCTTATCTTTCAAACTACGAAATTTAAGTTATATTCTCACTGTAGGCCAGTTAAAAGCCATGTACTGCGCGGAAGTGGAATCAAGGTTGCGTTACGGTGTCTGTTTATGGGGTTGGTCAACTAGCGCCAGTCAAGTCTTTTTAGCACAAAAATCTATTTTAAGAAGTATGACAGGTATAACCTATTTGGATTCATGTAAACCATACTTCACAAAGCTTGAAATCTTGACATTACCAAGTCTATATATTTTTGAGATATCTGTCTACATTTTCAAAAACAAAAATAAGTTTCCTTTAGTCAGTTTTGTTCATTCAGTTAATACGAGACAAAAGGATACTCTCCATATCCCGCTAGCGCGTGGACATATTGCGTTCAAAAGTCCAAATGTTGTAGGACCCCGCTTCTTTAACTTGTTGCCATTAGAAATTAAGGAAAGTAAAACATGTACTGTATTTAAATCTAGTCTTAAAAAGTTTTTAATCTCAAAGTGTTTTTATAGTGTAAACGAATTTTATTGTTAACCGTTATTGTCTCTCTCTTTAATGATTTTTTTTATATATTTCTGTGCTTGTGTGAGTGCATGTATTCTGGGTGTGTGTGTGTCTGTCTGTGAATGCTTTCTAGTATTAGTTTTTAGATTTAAATTATCGCTTGACTATTCCTAATACAATGTATAAAATTTTCTGAACAGGAAATAAAGAATTTTGAATTTTTGAATTTTGAATTTTTTTTGGTACCCAATCTTCTAAAAATAAGAAAAGTTCCGATACGGCAAAAGGCTTAATTACTGACTCCGCACCTAATGCGCCTCCTCAGGGCCTGCCCCGCATATGGTCAAGTACCACATTCCTGGCGTAAGGTCCAAGTGTTATTTTTCACCAAGCTAGGATACCTACGAATCGGCTAAGGATTACAGACCCATCAGGCTATCCTCGTTTCTTCTAAAAACGCTGGAGGAACTGGTGGACACATTCATCAGGGAAGAAGCATTGAAAATGGCCATGCATCCTAATCAACATGCATACAGGACTGCCATGTCAACTGAGATCGCTCTCCACACTCTTGTGGCAAGGCTGGAGCGAGAGATGTCTCATAAAGAGATGGCTCTGGGTGTATTTCTAGACGTCGAAGGGGCATTTAATAAGACCTCATTCGACGATAAAAAATGCTGCAAAAAGCTTTGGCATAGAGAACACCATTGTCAAATGGGTCTGTGTCATGCTGGAAAGCAAAATCATTACAAGCTCGATTGTTAGTGCGAAGATTAGCTTAAATGTAGCTAGAGGTTGCCCGCAGGGGGGTGTACTGGTGCCTCTGCTGTGGTGCCTGGTACTAGATAGGCTGCTTCGCACTCTGAACACGGAAGGTATGTACACTCAAGGCTACGCAGATGATCTTGTCATTTTTATAGCTGGTAGGCTACTCAGCACCATTGAAACGATCATGCAAACAGTTCTCAATATGGTAGAAAGATGGTGTAAAAATCACGGGTTTTTTTTAGTACCATTCACAAAGCGAACAAATGTGCTCTTTGGATCGAGACTTGTTCCATCCGGTATAGTTAAATATCTAGGATTCATCATTGACTCTAGGCTGACCTGGAAAGATCACCTCAACAGGATCATCCAGAGAACCACTGTTAGCTTTTGAGCCTGTAGAAGATCCATCGGACGCACCTGGGGCTTGCAACTGCACACAGTTCACTGGCCTTACACTGCCGCTAAGTATGGTGGAACGCGCTTAGCAAATCTACCTTCAGGGCAAAGCTGGACAAGCTCCAACGAATTGCCTGCATGGCTACAATTGGAGCCTTTAGAAACACCTCTCCATCTCTTCGTGGAGGCATGGGCCCGGGAGGCCTCTGTCAGACTCAACGATTGGGGACAATGGGTTCACAGAGAGCTGACATGCGAGGGCCTGGACTGACACCATCAGGCAGGACCCCCTTCTCACCAGAAGGGATGCAATGCTAAAAATTTCAGCCCCTCCTAGACAATACAAGGTGGTCATCCCTGCAAGGGACGACTGGCTAGAGCTTGACCCAGGCTTTCTCCAGCCGAAGAGGCTCATCTGGTACGCAGACTGGTCTCGGATAGGGGAGGGTACAGGGGCTGGTGTATATGGGGAGGGACCTGTGGCGAGAATTAGTCTCTAGAAAGTCTGATTAGGGAGTCGTTCTTAACACTTAGATAATTGACAGATTTGTGCACAACAACATTGAAGCAAAGATCAATCAAAAGCTTCGCATTTGTGCTAAGATAAACAAACTGACATAAATCCGTGCAGATATCGTCGTTTTATACATTCTTTCCAGAGATGTTCAACATTTGGCAAAACGTGTACTAAATGTCAAGCTAGGAATTCATGTTAGACTTAGACAAACTTCTTCGTGAATCAATTTCCAAGTTTTGGTTTCACACTTGTCAATTTTTTTCACGACCCAATTCACTAAAAAATTGTCACTGAATCAAAGGCGCGCATTTCAAAACTAAAAAAGTCCCTTCTAATTGAAATACTGAGTGGTGAAGGCGCAAGTAAAGCGCCAGTCTTGTATAATGATCAGAAAGTCAAGGATAATTATTCAAAAAACAAATGTCATCGTGATCACTATTATTAACGTTGGAGAATCTCCATAAGATTTATGGGAATAATCTAAGTATTAGTATGAGAATATAGAATTACTTATAGATGGTTATATGTGATGCCGGTTTGTGTTGATTCTTGTTGAAGTAGTTTTATGTAAAGAAGTGAGCAGGAAACAATAGTGATTTTGACCCCAGAACAACCGATAACTTCGAAACAGCGAGAAATCTTTTATTTTATAAAAGTGGAAAGAATAAGGAATTTGTCAGTCGAACACAAATGAATATGGACCCAAAATAAAGGAACCCTTATACCTAACTACAAGCTGGGGCAATCGAGTTCTAATAGTTTCAATTTCACTTAATTTAGACATGAATCTGAATTTGCACCAGAAGGATATTGTATTGACTTTAGGAATGTTCTAAGGCATCTCAAAAAAGCCTCAATAATGTAATTAATAAGTAAATTACAGAAAAACTTAGAGTCACATTGGAAATGATGGATGCAATCACTCATCAATGATCTGTCTATTGAAGATACTATTCTGTAAGTTTGATGGAATAGAAAATCTAAAAAGAGAATTAATAGTAAAAAGCTTCACGAATCTGGAAAATGGATAGGAAATTGATAAAAAAAAAATTGGGTTTTATTGAAATGAACGAAGAACGAGTCAAAATAAGAGTTTCTATTGAAAATAAATGATTTATTGGAATTGGATTTTGATAGGATTAAGAAATCATGAGGAAATAAGTATTGTTATTACAGGCGAATAGAAAAGTAAGATTTCAGAATCATCATTAATTTCCATCCGTCGATCCGCATTTTCGTAGGAAACAAAATAAAATAGATTCTCATTGTACGGACGATAATTAGTCTGAAAAGCTCATCCTCGGTTTAATGATCGTTTACGGGTCCGCACATACCGGCCCCCTGCTTTTTGATCCTCGGGGGTTGTCTTGCCAACCCCTGGGCTAGCTTGGGGGCTAGGCGCGCAGCCTCGCGCGCAACGGCCCGCCCCCTAAAAGAAGCGATCGTCATCTGGTTTAAGATTATCGTCACAGCCGCAATCTCGGCAGTGTGTTATTAGTGAGGAGAGCTCAGTGTAGCGCGACCTTAACTAGAATATATACTTAGTTGGTGTTTATTTTTTTGGAAGTGTTTGAACTATGATGATGGCTTCTCAGGTGGTGCAGTATCCTGGCAACGGTGGCAGCAGTGGTGGAGTAGCAGCAGTTGGTGTTGCGCAATCGCATCAGGTGCGTGTTTATAATGATAGAGTGTGCACCCTTTCATTACTTATCATTACTTAAGATTTTATTAGCGATCGTTTTATTAGCCGGTGGATAAGGCGGAAATGACCACGGTTGATAATAGGATAGGTTTTATATTTTTCAGCATTTGATTTTTTTCTTGTCAGTGCAATTACATAGGTACTTAGGACACACAATTTTCCACCCAATTATAAATTTTAAATTTATTTTGTAGTCCAAAATTTTGGGTTTCCCAACTTGTTAAGAATATACTAGAACTAATGAGTTTGAATCTAATTTACTATTTTACTGTTAATTAAAGTTGGAAATTTGTTTTATTAAAGTGCATTGATAGGTTGGTTTTAGTTTAAGTCTTGAAAAAATAGGCGAAACCAAATTCTTAATTGTAGACATTTTCATATAAATAAAACGTAAAAATCTATAAAACTTTTAACTAATGATAGCCAAAACGAAATTAAAAAAAAAAAAAATATTACATAGATACCTATATTATATCAATCGTATTTTAGGTATTAATATATCTAAGTGTATTATTATTATTATTATTATTTATTATTATTTTTTTCTCTTTTTATATTAAAATATAGTTTGAACATAGTTTTGTGAAAGTAAAACTGAAAAGTAGCAAAATTGAAGTTAATATGAGTGATGAATTTTATTTGCTTCAAATTGTGCCTTACAATTTTAGTTTAGGTGTGAAGAATTACCTAAATATTATTAAACTAGCATTTGATGGAGTTTAGAATAACGAGCTGAAATTCAGTTTTTTCCATTTCGTTTAAAAGGTGTTACCTATAGGTATAAATTTAGCTACGTATTTTCAGGGGTAGTAGGAGACATCGAAATTAATATTTTTTTATTGATAAACATTGTCCGAAAACGCTGTGTTTTTGCCAGATACAAGGTTCAAGTTTTGAAACAAAAGTCCTTTTCCATCTAAATTTTTTCAATTTTAATGAAATTTGAACAATTTGCTGCTAATTTTATGAGATATTTTTTAGAATTATTACAGTTAAAACAGTAATTCCAGGGGAATGCTCACGGGGCATGTCTTTTTTGCAAAGTTCAGAGACAAAAAAACATATGAGTAATTTTTTTCTAAGAAACTAATCAGCATACGCAAAATCTCCAAGTGAAGATGAACTTGTTTTTAGTTGCATTTTCTCAAACATTATTAAAATTTCAAAAAATACACTATTTGAATGCAAAGAATTAACAGACTTGCCCAGTCAGTCCGCCTCTGGAACTACTGGTTCGGTTCTTGAAGATGTTTAATAATAGCAGAAAATGGTGAAAATTTCATTAAAATTGACTAAGCGACCAATTTTTTTTCAAAACTACCTAGGTATTTTGATGTTCCCTCTACCATCCCTTGAATTTTGTTGGTACATATATTTAGGAAACACCCTGTATATTTCAACCTCTCTTAGAATAATCAGAGAATCAAATGTCAACATTATATTGACCTTTTCCCTTATTTTTTCCAGATGACACCACTCAATCTCCTCGCAGCTACCTGCAATCGCATCTACCCCACACCAGCAGGCTACCCTCCCCACACCCAACTTTCACCCGCTAGCACGACATCTTGCAGCAGCGACGGCTACGCCACACAAGTACCACCTCTGGAAACCACCCGCAGCCCGTTGGATTACTCGCCTCACTACCAAAACGCCTACGGCTACAATAACTACTGGTTCCAGCACTCGCCGCCACCTGCGGATATCGCCACCAGCGGTTACCAGCCCCATCAGCAATACTCTCCGTGGAGTATGCCTCCGTTTAGTACAGTCAAAGTGGAGTTTCCTAGTTTCTCGAACAAGGCTAGACGATGTATTAAATGCCAATGTCCGAATTGTATAAACGAAGAGAATGGACTTAAAAAACCGTCTTCAAAAAAAATGCATATCTGTCATTTTCCTGGATGTGATAAAGTTTATGGAAAAACTTCGCATTTGCAAGCACACTTAAGATGGCACACCGGCGAAAGGCCTTTTGTATGCAACTGGTTGTTTTGTGGCAAAAGATTTACGCGCTCAGACGAGTTACAACGGCACCTACGAACGCATACAGGGGAAAAACGATTTTCCTGCAACATATGTGCCAAGAGATTCATGAGGTCTGATCATTTGGCTAAGCACGTCAAGACTCACAAGAATACTCAAACGAAAAAAGAGCCGGAAGCATCAGAAAAGACTAAAAAAGGCTCAGAAACTGCTAGTGTCGAACCGAGACTGCCTGAAAACGATGTGCCTGCTCAAATATCATCGGCCAATGACATGAGGGGCAGTACGAGTTTCTCTCCGCCGATTTATCATTCTCCTGTGCAACCCTTGAGCAGGTATCCACCGCAAACCCAGCATAATGGCATGATTTCGAGACCTAGTAGTTTACAACAATACAATCATAGCTATCATCATCAGAATTATTTTTCCGAGTATGGATATATGTAGGTTTATGTGAGTTTTTTCTTTTTTGTGCCATATTACTTAAGTATTTTTTAGAACTTATTTTCCAATAGATTCTTTGGAAATAAAAATAACAAAGGTCTTACCTAATTGAATTTTAAATGATTTTCAGTCAAACGCTTTTGATTTCTTCTTTCTTGTTAAGTTGATATAATAAATGCCTTTTTCATTTTCCTATTTTTTTGTATAAAAATATAAATAAATAAGTTCAACGTTAAAAAAAAAAAAAATTGAAAATTTAGTGTAGCAAATGTATAATTTTCTCATCAATTATCAAGAAATTTTTATTTTTATATCACACTTTACATTTTAGATTTGTTTCATTTTTTTTATATCAAACCATTTTTTCAAAACAAATTAAAAATCAGGGTCCAAAGTGTCATTATATGTAAATTGTACGCCATTTATATTTGAAAATAAATGTTATTGTTTTTATTGATGATTTTCCTTTCCAAAACTGTGAGATCTCACTAATTGAAACAATTTTTCGATATTTACAATGTATCAAAATTGCCAACAAAATGTTTGCTCGATAAGTGCTGCCTCCTCCAGTCACGGACTCGAAGTCTTATTTTGTTGGTTGCGCTACTAGATGGCGTCAGTATAAAAAAGATAATTGAGGGTGCTATTAAATGGGCGGGTTTTATGGATGTATGGCCGCCCTGATAGAGGAGGGCAGCTAAAGAAAATAAAACAAAAAAAAAGAGGAAATTATAGTGTAATATTATGTATGCGCGGTGGGGTACTCTACAACACTACCAACCCATTTGGGAAAAGCTCCTAAAGTCAGTTTCAATCAAAACACATTCAATGCCACTTTTCATTCAAAATATAGGAAAATCAGATTTAAATACAAAATCGGTCCGATTTTTATGATAAGAAAATTATTAATTATCCGGTTTGTCCGTTTGGTGGCGCTGCCTACGCGTGTGTTGTGATTTTGTTTTTTTTTTTTGACACTGTGAAAGGTGTGTTCCGACCTTTATATTAAAAAGGATTTGACTTGACTTCTATAGGAGGTTTTATTGAGGGAAGCTGCTCGGTTGCCCTTCACAAATGGAGAGACAGGAGAGGGAGAAGGGACGCGGATCGCCGGAATTGTTAGCTGTAAGTGAATATGCGGGATGATTAATTAGTTTTGTATTATGTGGTTACATGAGGATGATAAGCTCTGGAACCTTTTTCTCTGAATCAATGGTGGGTACTACACTAGAAGAGTTATCTTATAATTGGATGATTCTGCTTCTGCAACTGTTCAATTTTATTGGTATGGTATCATTAGGTATTTCAAAAATGCTCGATTATATTAAAGTAATAAACATACTAACTATTATGTTGTCTAAATTTATCATCCAGAACAAATAATAAAATGATAAAATATGATACAAAACGGTCACAATATCTGAGGAGTAGTGTTGCTGGTAACATGCAGAAGTGTTTCTATGAACATGAATCATTTCATTTATATGATTGTATTGTACCTATCATGTCTTTTCATTACACTTCGGCAATATCTCTTTATAATATATTGGTGAGTATAAGTTAATATTATACATTATACTAATTTATAGTATTATAGAAAAAGTTGCTTCCTTTAAATTATTTTTTCTCGGAATTCTTTGGTATTATAATTCCACCCTTTGCTTAGCTCAATTTAAAAGCTTTTTTCCTATATCCTCATTCTTTTCTCTGATTTATTGTACTCCTATACCCCTCCCTGTCACTCTTTCACGATTTTTTGAAAAAAAAAAAATATTCAGGAATCTGCAATGATGATTCAATTGCCCACCCTTTCCTTTTCTATACAGGCAATAGAGTTTCCCCGTTATAATATTACAAGCTTTGTTTCCCGTTCGTCCTGCTCTCTATTTCCGCACGCCGTTTTTTTACTGCTTCTCACAGTTCCTTTTCTAGTTCATCTCCGCTTTTTCTCCCTCACTTTTTCCGGATTTTTTTCGCTCATTCAGTTATTGCAGGTTTGACACCCTGACAAAAGATTTCAGCCACACAAAATTATTTATTTCAGAATTTCTGGGAAACAATAAAATTATTTAATTTAATTGAATATTAGAGAACCCGGAGGAGACAAGACAAACAGGTAGTAGTTGCAACTGTAATACAAAAATAATCTTTATCTTCTGCATTTACTGGCTATCATCATGACTCATGACACTGAAACGATTCAGCTGAAGTATAACTTTAGTAAGAATTTTTATGCTTCGGCTTTCCCAAAAATATTTTTAAATACTAAAATGATGATTTCCTTCTCACTAATAATAGTATTCGCATGTTCAGCAGCTCTGGATAGATCGAAATTTACAGACTGTAGAATTCTGCAAAAAAGAAGAGTAAAAGCAAATAAAGTAAACGCAGTTAATATACTAACTATATAAACTCACAGTCTGTTCAGTCTGAAGCCTACAGGAATGAGCAAGAACTAAACCAGCGCTCGAAAATGAAAAAAAATTAGACATGTTTTCATATACACATAATAGTTTCAAAAGTTTTGATGCATCACCCTAAATCTCCTGTCTGGAGACGCCTGCTCATGCTTCATGCTGTCTATAAGATTAATGATATGTTGTTGAGGATTATTTTGCCTTTCTTCCTGAACAGCATGAACAAGCTCTTGTACAATCCTGGGCCGGTATTCTGGTTCTCAAAAACGCTCACAGCTTTCTAGTCGCTCGGCACTTTAAATGCAAATTTATATTGAAAGTGCCGAGCGGCTGAAAAGCGGTGAGCGTTTTCGAGAACGAGAATACCGGCACTGGGTGGGTTTCTGCGTACTGTCACTGCCCTGGTAAGCATGCTCTCTAAGATTCATGTCTGGCCATAGTGCGGGCCAGTATAAACCATTGATGCTTCCTTGCGTTGTACGGTGAGGTCGGGCGTTATCCTCCATAAAAACAAAAGCATCACCACCTCCTCGCCGTAGTCTGAAGTGAGGATCTAGAATCTCTCTAATGTATCTGTCTGCAGTCATTATGCCCTGAACATAAATTAATTCTGTGTGACCATTAGACATGATATCAGTCCAGGGGTCGTATTTTCGAATATTCTCGCATACGAAATTTGATGCGAGTTCGAATACTCCCCATTTAATTTACATTGCTGTCAATCAAATTTTGTGTACGAAATGTATTCGAATGAATTCGAAAATACGACCCCTGAACATAACACTTTCTCTGGCAAAGGGTGGCAAGGAGCGTGCATGAGTAAGCTGGGCAGCTCTTGTTGGCTCTCTCCATACACGTGTGATGACTATCCTGCACCAAACAAATTCTTGTTTTGTGCCTCGTGCTCTTGAGCCCATTGTAGTCGACAAACTTTGTGTTCATGGTGTAGTCGAGGTACTCTTATTGGTCGGCGAAACCTCAAACCTGGCGCGAGTATTCGTTTCCGCATCAATGTGGAGACCGATACTTGCACTCCCAAGGCATGACGCTTATCTCTTTGGAGTGTAGGTATTTTTTTTTTTTTTTTTTTTTTTTTTTTTTTTTTTTTTTATGGATATGCGCACTCGCAAGGAAATGTCCTATCACGCTCGAGAAGCGGCAAGTGCGCGGAAATGTCGGTGTATGTTGGTCTTGAAACGGTTCAGGTTGTAACCTGCAGGGAAAACCGTCGCAGGGAGTTTATTCCACAGCGATGCTGTTCTCCAGAGATATGAATTCTGATATAATGAGGTTCTTGGTGCCTCTAGTTTGACAGTAAATTCATGGTTACCGTCTGTTTGACGGGTTCGCCTGGTAGGCGCTACTCTCGGTGGAATCATACGTGCCAACTCTTCAGAGCATTTTCCGTGATAGTACCTGTAGAAGAGAGATAAATCGCCCACAGATCTGCGATGTTCGAGACCATCCAAGTTACGAGTAAGTGCGGGGTCATTGATCAGCTTGATAGCTCGTTTTTGCACGGTGTTCAAAAGCATTAAGGTATGTTTGGGTGCTGCACTCCATATATGTGAGCAGTACTCCATAGTTGGTCGAATCTGGGCTTTGTAGAGTGTCAGCAATTGGCTTGGTGTGTACAGATGTCTTGTACGAAATAGCACCCCAAGCTTTTGGGACGCCCTTTTAGCAATATCTGCCACGTGACTGTGCCAAGACATGTTGGTCTCTGCAGTAACCCCCAAGATGTTCAACTGACTCTGTAATGTGACAGCACTTCCAGATAGCATAATGTTTGGCTCACCGGTGCTGGTCTTTTTTGAAAACAGAGCTGCTTGGGTTTTCTGCGCGTTGAACTGTACAAGGTTTTTGTTACCCCAGTCCTCTATTATCTCCAGGTCGTTATTTATCTGCGATATTTGAGTTAGTCTATGATGATGGAATTCACGTGCGGAAAGACCTGTGGGTGGTATGAGTGAGGAGACTACATTGCCATCGTCTGCAAAGCAATAAAGTGGATTTACTGTTTTATCTATGAGGTCATTTATATAAATCAGAAAAAGAGTTGGCGAAAGGATTGCTCCCTGTGGCACACCAGCATTTATTTGGTAAGAGTTGGAGTTCTGGCCATCCAGTGTAACATAAATGGATCTGTCCTTTAGGTAACTTTCAAACCATGTGCAAAGTTTCGGCGATAATCCCATTGCTTTGAGCTGTTGAGCAGATTTTCATGCCAAACTTTGTCGAATGCTTTAGATATATCTAAGGCAATTGTTCTTGTTTCACCCCGCAACTCAATCGCTTTTTGCCATAAGTGAGTGACGTATGTAAGTAAATCGCCAGTTGACCTATATTTTCGAAATCCGTATTGCTTATCGTTGATAATTTTGTACTTTTCCAAGTACTTGGTTAGGTGATTGTTCACAACTCTTTCCATTACTTTTGACATCACCGGAAGTAGAGCAATTGGTCTATAGTTTAACGGATCTGTCTTTTTTCCTTTCTTTGGAATGGGTTGTACTGCGGCAGACTTCCATGATGATGGATATACTCCTTGCCTGTAAGACAAATTGAATAATTTTGCGAAAGTTG